GCAGCACAACTGGGCCCGGACAGAGGCCGAGCCCGCCCGGCAGCAGCGCGTGCCTGGGAAGGGACAAGGGCCTTCGCACCCCAGAGCGCCACCCGCCCCGCCTCGCTTCGCCTCGCCTCGCCTCACACTCTCAGAGGTTTCCCGGACATTGCAACTGCCTCCGCACAGACTGCCCCCAGGAACTGAAACCGTCGTGCGCACACCCTAACCCTTCCCCCCGGGACCCTTCCCCCCGGAAGGCGATCACCGCGTGCCACACCCTAACCCTTCCCCCCGGAAGGCGATCACCGCGTGCCACACCCTAACCCTTCCCCCCGGAAGGCGATCACCGCGTGCCACACCCTAACCCTTCCCCCCGGAAGGCGATCACCGCGTGCCACACCCTAACCCTTCCCCCCGGAAGGCGATCACCGCGTGCCACACCCTAACCCTTCCCCCCGGAAGGCGATCACCGCGTGCCACACCCTAACCCTTCCCCCCGGAAGGCGATCACCGCGTGCCACACCCTAACCCTTCCCCCCGGAAGGCGATCACCGCGTGCCACACCCTAACCCTTCCCCCCGGAAGGCGATCACCGCGTGCCACACCCTAACCCTTCCCCCCGGAAGGCGATCACCGCGTGCCACACCCTAACCCTTCCCCCCGGAAGGCGATCACCGCGTGCCACACCCTAACCCTTCCCCCCGGAAGGCGATCACCGCGTGCCACACCCTAACCCTTCCCCCCGGAAGGCGATCACCGCGTGCCACACCCTAACCCTTCCCCCCGGAAGGCGATCACCGCGTGCCACACCCTAACCCTTCCCCCCGGAAGGCGATCACCGCGTGCCTCACACTAACCCTTGAGGGGCATTTTGTTGGTTGAGCGGGTGGCCAATGAGCTGTCACTTTGCGAGCGGAGCTCCCCGCAAATGCCCCTTCCATAGCCCCTGGGCTCAGCAGCAGTCCCGGTACCCGCTGGCTCTCAGGGAGTCCTGCGTTGTGCTTTGATCACCAAGAATTCTGTGAAGCTTTTGGCTTTTTTCAATAAAATATTCACCCTGGTTAGGGATGGGGACACGGTAGCCCCGCCCCCAGCCCAGTCACACTCAGTGATCCCCTGGGCCTCGCCCACCAGTTGCAGGAGTAGCAGTGCTTCCGGGGGTCACATGACCAGGAATAAAGGATGTCGTGTGACCCCCACCGCCCTTTGCCAGTCGGGTGGGTTTGGGCCCGTAGGGGGGGCGGTGTGTGGGGGCAGGGTGTGTATGATAGTGCTGTGCCAGTGTGTGTAGCTGCTGGTGGCACTGCGTGTGGAGATGGTGAAGTAGGTAGAGGCAGGGTATGTGGGGAGGTGGTTGTGCTAGTGGTGCTGTGCCTCAGGGCATGGAGTGGTTTTGCTGGAGCAGCTGCGTGTAGTGGCAGGGTGTGTGGAAGTGGCACTATGGGCAGTATATGTGTGGTAGAGTGAACAGGGACAGGATGTGTGAGTACGCTCTGGTGGCACAACACGGTGTGAGGAAGACTGGGTGTGGCACTGTGGGCAAGGGCAGAGGGTGTGGAGGTGGTGCTGTGTGCAGGGGTGAAGTATGTGCTGGTGCTGTGTGTAGGGGCAAGGGTATCTGTGCCCTACAAATTGGGCTAGTGCCAGCAGCTTGGAGCAAAAGGCCCTGCTCACGCACTAGGGCTGGCAGCAGCTCCGAGCAGGTGGCCGCGGGCAGGAGTTGAGCAATGCAGAGCCAGGGTAGGGCCAAGCTCCTGATGCTCTGAAACACTTGGGGCAGGGTGAGCAGGACAACCATCCACGTCACCTTGTGGTGAGTTTTTCCCCGACTCCTTTTTGTCACTGCTGATATGCTGCTGCCTATTATTCATTCCATTAAAATAGTATTGTTTCATATACATTTTAACTCTGATTTCAAATACCAAGAATTCCAAGAATTTACTTCCCTCAAGATTAGTAACTGCTTTCAAATTAATAGAAGTTTTTTGGGAAGACAGCTGACATTATGACTACAGTTTAAAATCAGTGTTGTTAATTTCTCACCTTGCCCTCTGGCAAAGGGTTTTCCATGTAAAGCATGTATCAACTTCTTAAAATATCTGATGTCTGTTTGGTGTACACACAAAATAGCTAGAGCTAGTAGTTACATGGCCCAAAGAATGAAATTAAATTTTATTGCTTTTTAACCAAAATCTGTTTTGGTTTCTGCCTAATTAGTCTAATGATTTTGAGCAGAAGAAAAAAAAGCTTAAAATCCAGTTGACCTACCCATAATTTGTGTATGCAAATGTTGCAGAAATTGTTCTGCGTTTTCCAGCACTCATTTTATTACTGTTTTGGGTCAAGCAGCTAACTGGACAGTTTGTTGTTCCCAGTCTTAGCGGTAATAACATGTTGAGGGTTTAGTTTTCCACGTACAGAACAGACCCACTAATCAGATGCTTAGCAGCCCCCCCAGCCTGGCTGAGGCCAAATCCTACCAACCCACAGCCCCTATATACAGGCTTGCTGTACCCCAGGCCTGGCAACCCAGAGGGACCTAAACCCTGGGGCTGTGTCTAGACTGTATCCCTTTTCCGTAAAAGGGATGCAAATTAGACACATCGCAATTGCAAATGAAGCGGGGATTTAAATCACCCCTGCTTCATTTGCATAAAAATGGCTGCCGCTTTTTTCTGTCTCAGAGCTTTGCCAGAAAAAAGCGCCAATCTAGACGCGGATCTTTCGGAAAATAAAGCCTTTTCCGAAAGATCTCTTATTCCTTATTTTAAGAGGAATAAGGGATCTTTCGGAAAAGGCTTTATTTTCCGAAAGATCCGCGTCTAGATTGGCGCTTTTTTCTGGCAAAGCTCTGAGACAGAAAAAAGCGGCAGCCATTTTTATGCAAATGAAGCAGGGGTGATTTAAATCCCCGCTTCATTTGCAATTGCGATGTGTCTAATTTGCATCCCTTTTACGGAAAAGGGATACAGTCTAGACACAGCCCCAGGGTTTAGGTCCCTCTGGGTTGCCAGGCCTGGGGTACAGCAAGCCTGTATATAGGGGCTGTGGGTTGGTAGGATTTGGCCTCAGCCAGGCTGGGGGGGCTGCTAAGCATCTGATTAGTGGGTCTGTTCTGTACGTGGAAAACTAAACCCTCAACATGTTATTACCGCTAAGACTGGGAACAACAAACTGTCCAGTTAGCTGCTTGACCCAAAACAGTAATACTATTCATCTCACGTAGGCGTTGGGCATAGGGTTGCCAGATACTTTCACAAAAAATACTGAACATTGTGGGGAAAAAATTGGTTGAGCAAAAAAAAAAAAAAAGATTAAAAAAAGCACCAAAACAAAGAGTCACCGTACCTTTAAATCTTTCCCTTCCCCCGCCAGACATGACAAGGGAGGAATGTCCCAAGTATTTCTTCTTCCAGCTAAGAAAAAATGTCTGGTATTTTCCGGTTTTTTAATCAGACAGAAGCCGCAAATACCAGGCTGTCCGGGCCAATACTGGACACCATAGGCGACCGCCAGCATCTTCTTGTGGGGGTGGAGGGGTGGGCTTGTCCCGTCACACCCCTCCTCCTCCAGCAGCCTCCAGCTGGCCTGTCCGCCAGTCCATTACGTGTAGACATAGCCCCAGTGATTTCAAATCTTTAGCCACCATCTAGACTGGCAAAATATTCCAGCTTCCACTGGAATCGCAAAAAGACTCTTCATGGGCTGCGTCTAGACTGGCATGATTTTGCACAAAAGCGGTTGCCTTTGCGCAAAATCTTGCCACCTGTCTACACTGACCACGAGTATTTGTGCAAGAACACTGACTTTGTAATGTACAAAATCAGTGGTCCTTGCGCAAATACTCAGACGCTCGCGCTCAGGGATAAGCCCTCTTGCACAAGTATTCTTGAGCAAGAAGGCCAGTGAAGACAGCAACGTTAATTTCTTGCACAAGAAACCCTGATGGCTAAAATGGTCATCAGAGCTTTCTTGCACAAGAGAGCGTCTACACTGGCATGGATGCTTTTGCCTAACGTCGCGGAGGAGGAGAGGGAATTGTGACAGGACGCCCGCACACCCTCACTTTAAATTCCACGCGGCCATCAACAGGGCACTGTGGGGCAGAGAGAGCGCATGTGCGGCATGCTCAAATGCCGCACAAGAGGTAAGAGAGGAGACGCCCGGGCATGGTGTGACGTCATGGCCCAGGAATTTCAAATTGCGTGGCCCAGCTCCAGAAGGAGCTGGGGCCTGACTACAAATGCTGGCCAGCCCGAGCCATTTTTGTGCCCCAGGCCCGGCAGCACCGCCCTTTGACTGCCTAGTCTGTCTCCTAGTTTTCACAGTGCTATTGATGGGTCTCAGGTGCCCATAAAGAGCACACAAGTCTATAAACTGCACAATGAGCTTCTGTGTTGTCCGTCTCAGTAGAAGAACTACAGTTTGAGAAGTGTTATACTGAACTACCATCTAATCTGATATTTGGGCTCTCCGCTTCCAGGCTGAGTCACACTGGCAGGAAAATGCCCAGGTGCACCTCTTCTGAGGATAATTAGCGCTTCAGTCTCCAGGGCTGCCAAACTATTAAAATGAAATTTTGCCATTCTGAATTCTTAAAATAGGATATTCAGTGAGGCTGGTTTTGTTTGAGGGTGGTTTTGTTTTATTTTTGTCTCTCTGTTGTAATATTTGACATAAAATGTAGGTTTCCAAGACTTCTCACTTGAGCCATTTGTCCATTGCCGTCCTTCTGTTTCTAATACTATTATTTGATACCATTGGTGGTTGCCTATGCTGCCCTTTAACATAGTTAATTTCCTTCTGTTAGTTCTTTTCCTCCGCTTGATGGTCATGAGGGGCAACAGACCATTTAAGAGTCAGTCATGCTGCTCCTGTTTAAGTGGGATGGCTCCTACTTAAGGCCAACACAGGCCTTCAAAGGTTTGATTTCAGGAACAGTCAGAAATTATTCAAACAGGGATACATATTTTCCTTTTGAAACAGTGAAAGAAACAGAGCAATAAAATGTCAATTTCAACTGTGTTCTGGGCACAGTCTTCCTAGGGTTTTATTTTATGCTTTTTCTAGGGAAAAATTGGGCTTCAATTGCAGCAAGGGAGGTTTAGGTTGGACAGTAGGGAAAACTTCCTAATTACCAGGGTGGTTAAACACTGGCACAAATTGCCTAGGGAGGCAGTGGAATCTCCATCATTGGAGATATTTAAGCACAGTTTAGACAGACATCTG